AGGGCGGGATTTGATCTTTAAACCTGCTTGTTGTTTGGTTTTATTTTCTTCACATGTAATTCTGTTCTATTTCTGATTCCAAAAGCTATTTTTTTTCATCTTAAAAGTATGATCCTGTTTGTCTTGAGAAATTAGTAGTTCAGCATCATAATAAATTACCTTAGAATGTTTGGTGGCATCTAATAATGATCCACTTTTATGGGTTAATGACATGGAGACCAAAAGATATTCCCCATGCGTGATATAATTTGGTTACAGTACACACATGTCATATTGCTGAAGCATAGGGTTACCTCCTTGGTAATAGGGTACAAAAGAACATAAGAATGGTCATACTGGGTCAGACCAAAGGTCCATCTAGCCCAGTATCTTGTCTGTCAACAGTGGCCAGTGCCAGGTGCCCCAGAGGGGGTGGACCGAAGACAATGATCAAGCAATTTGTCTCCTGCCATCCTTCTCCAGACAAACAGAGGCCAGGGGCACCATTCCTTACCCCCTGACTAATAGCCTTTTATGGACCTAACCTCCATGAATTTATCTAACTCTCTTTAAAACTCTGTTATAGTCCTAGCCTTCACAGCCTCTTCTGGCAAGGAGTTCCACAGGTTGACTGTGCGCTGTGTGAAGAACTTTCTTTTATTAGTTTTAAACCTGCTACCCATAAATTTCATTTGGTGTCCTCTAGTCCTTATATTATGGGAACTAATGAATAACTTTTCTTTATTCACCCTCTCCACACCACTCATGATTTTATATACCTCTAGCATATCCCCCCTCAGTCTCCTCTTTTCTAAACTGAAAAGTCCCAGTTGCTTTAGCCTCTCCTCATATGGGACCCGTTCCAAACCCCTAATCATTTTAGTTGCCCTTTTCTGCTTTTGTGTGTGCATCTTAAAGCTCTGACTGTGATGCTTTACTTAAGGCTGGAAATAGTGTTCTATTATAACTCTGAACTGGAATTTAGCCCACTGGGGCTCTTGTACCTTTCAAAGTGTGAGTGCCCACATGGACCCTGGGGCCATGGAGCCTCTGGGGACTCTTGTACATTTCAATGGAGGAACGTGCGCTAGTCCTTATCGACTAATCGAATAGTCAATGGAAATCCCATCGACTATTCAATTAGTTAATCGATATTTAACATCCCCACTACAGATAAATTTGATTATCAGCAAATATGGCAAGAAAAATTCTGGAAAAAGTGAGTCTTTTAGCCTGAGTGTGAATGTGCCTCTTAACACAAAAAAATCCACATGTAGG